AATAAAGTAAAATTTTTAATTTGCTTTCTGTGCGGCCAATATCATAGTTAAATGGGACAACACTTTTTAATACAGATGGTGTTGAACTTACGTGGTACGGTACACTTGTAAACGCGTTTTCAGCAGTAGGCTACGTACCGGTGATGCACCATGTCGCGCGAACCACGACCTGACTGACAAGAACTGACTGCACAAATAGGAACCCCGGTTAAATTTTACTGCAATCAAAATATCAATGGTCAGCAGACGATGTATGGTCAATTTTGACGAATCAGCGATAGGGTATTGTCATATGTGTGGGACTAAAATAAGCATAAAGATCGTTCTCTAGCTTGACCAGGACCCCTCTAATCCCTAGACCCCTCTCTAAATCGAGATCTTCGATCTTCCACAAACAGCAAACCATTTAATTGGAGACAAAACCCCAAGACCACCAAGAAATTCTTAGATTGTATGTGCGAACTCTTTTCTACTCAGGACTACGTTAATGACTTCTCTGTATATTAGGCGTAGCATCGTGTAGCGGAGGGGCTCCCTGTGAGTTTGAGACCACTGTGGCCACTTTTGATTATCTCATTAAGGCAAACATTAGGCCAAATATCCGTTTGTCTCCATCAGATAATAATAGGGACATAGTAGGAGGGGAATTGTTGAATTAAAGTTTGAGATTGAACTATTAGCTGCACGAGTAGGAACACTTGCACGTCGAGCGGAGAGTATCGAATAACTGGAAAACACAGTCGCATTAGGCCTATGTGCTATATAAATAATACAATACGGTATATAAACACTTGAGCTACGATAAATAATGATTATGAAGATGATGTGCCTAACTGCAAAGTTAACAGCCTTGCCTGATCCGTTCGAATCCGTTTGTCTTGTGTTTGATCGAATGAGGGCTCTAAGACAGTGGCGGCGCCCGTGGGTAGAGGGGGTCAGAGGGGGATTGTACCCCTCCGTCGGACAAGGCTACACCCCTTTGTCCGTCACTAAGACGAGTTCTCGTCAGACCAAAAATATTAATTTGCCTATTGCCAATGCTATGCATGATTCCCCTGTCAATCTTGTCGTATTCCCCTGTCAGCAAATTTCTGGAGCTACCACTAGTAAAGCCGGGTCACGGTTGCACGACCCGGTCGGACAACAAACCGTCGTTGCCGCCACGTCGCTTCATGTAGGGGGTTCGACAAAATACGGGCACGGGCATAATAATAGTAGTAGACCTACCTGTAGTAATTTAAATAAACCGACGATTATTATACGAGTGGTTCCCTTGTTACTGCAGTACTTGTTTGTTCCGATGCTCTATCAATATCTATATTACTGTAGTTATATTGTTCCAACTAACCAAACTAAGCATTGTTATAGTAAAACTGTAGTCATTTATCGTTCCGCAGATGTATCACATCAACCACAAAAATGCCAGCAAAAGCTCAAGCACATCTATAGTTTAAATTGGCGTATAGAAATAGAATGAAGGGATTTGTGACGTAGTGGATCAAGGATACGGGTCGAGTACGAACTAAACACAAACCGGATAAATTCATTGATTTGAATGTCGAGACTTATAGGCCTAGAGACACCGTATGTCTATACTATATAAACTGAAACAACGGTCATCATTATTGTCGATATTCGTTATCATTATTAAACAGTCATGCTTAACTCCTGATGTCGGACAGGCCAAGTCATCCTCCACATTCGTCATCTAGGACTAGTTAAAACCAAACAACAAGACAAACATCATTATTATTATAATTATAATTATTATTATTAATTTTTGTGAACAAGGGCCTACGTTGGGCTCCATTAAAAATGGTCAGACTGTGGAACAGCTTCTTGTCGCCTTTAATTACATTATAATAGAGCCACCAATGAGCCTAGACAACGAAAGTTTGAAGTAGGCCTATCCCGATTCAGGTAGTGTTATAGGGCGGGTGTCCACATTAAAAAATGTTATCATATTTCTATGAAGCAGGCTACCTATGTTGGCCAAACCATGGAGTTTATAACTCGTGTACCTTCCTTATGCCTACGATATAATGATTGCCAATACATTCAGATTGCATGTTATATTCAATATAATTTGCCAATCTCCTGATCTAAAGAGAAGAATACGATATTGTATACGCTCTGGAAATATATAGTTTACTTTGAAATTCTCACACTATCAATTCGCTTTCCGATATACTCTACTTACGCCACATGTAAATTGTGCCATTGTGTCAACCGTGACATGGCGCCGTATCGCTTTCACAGCTGAGAGCACCTGCGCACATATTCAACCCTTTTTTAGTATCCATTAAAACATCTTTGACCACCCTATGAGGACTATGATAAATAAGAAGATAACTTATTTTTTAAACAACGGAGTAATGAAAACTGTCTTCACTTTTTGGAAATTAGAATCAACATATTATCACGTAATCGTTTAAAATTAGTTCTAAGCCTAAATAACTAAAAGGGCGTAAAGGAGCACGCGATCCTCAAGACCACTCTTCTTGGTCCTCTGGAGCCCCACCACCGCAACGACATTAGGGCACCAGCAAAATCCCGGAGCCAGGGCTACAGTCTCGGTGGCCGGGGTGAGATGATTTTAGATAGAATATCCAGAAAGGGGACGCAAGGGTTGACGCAAATTTAACTAACACTAAATAGTGGTTCTGTTGTAATAGTCAGGCTCCGGAGGGGAAAAATAATTGATATGTTGTAGAAGTGATTTTTCTAAGATAGAAAAAAGGTGTTTGTCGAAAAACTGGGGAACGGTGAATGAGATACTGTACAGATTTTTGAATATTTAAAAACTGGGGGAATAAGGTGTAAAAATGGGCAGTTACGCCCCTTTTTCCCCCAGTTTTTAAATATTCAAAAATCTGTATCTCATTCACCGTTCCCCAGTTTTTCGTCAAACAACTTTTTTCTGTCTTAGAAAAATCAGTTCTACAACATATCAAAAAAAATTTTTCCTCCGGAGCCTTACTTTCAAGCGATTTAAAGAAGACCCGTTGCTGGTCTAAACGGGAATACTACGGTACTGTATTATAGTGTACGCTAGGCCTTTGAAAATTGAGAGCATGCGTGTGATAAGAACAATATCCTTGTTGCATTTATCATTCAGAGTTCAGAAACACAATAGGGCGTTTTAAATGCTTTGTTAAGAAAATTACCGGTAAATGTTGAACTTTACGGACGGATTGATTCAAGAATTCGAAAGCAGAAGAAAAACCACTGACAATTCCATTGCATGTTCGCAATAATAGCCTAATTATTACTGCAAATGGATTCTATTGTGCCGATTAACAGATATTGGATAGGCCTAGATGTTTTATTATTGTAAATGTATTCGATGGTTTTTTAAGTTATTTTATGGGTTGTTCTTCTCAGCATGCAAGGTACACTAAGCAGGCGCTTTGGACAGTAGGCCTAGAGTGTGTGGTGGGCAATGCCGTGGCCAGCTATTGAGACAGTTGGGACATTCCCACACAATTTTCTAATAGGTCCACAAAGAATGGGGCCACATTTTAAAAAATGGGTTCAAATTATGGGATTTTATGAATAAAATGGGTCCACTTTTAAAAAAATGAGTCAAGATTTCTCATATTTAGCTTAAAATGGGTTAATTCTAAGAAAATGAGTATATTGATACTGATATTGTCAAGCATTGTTAAAAAATCCTGGCTACGGCATTGGTGGTGGGATAAAATGCCTCGGCTATATATTTTAGAGGTTTACTGGCCTACTCCTTTTTTATTGGGGTTAATTATTAGCCTATTATTATATCGATTATACAAGTTTATCATATATACCAAATGGAAACTTGTGTCCGGTTAAGCCATTATTATGGCGGAGATTCCACAGAGCTAAAATTGGGTAAGGGAAGTGACCCTTCCCGCCTTTAATAATTTTAGAACCTTTTTGACCATGCCATTTATACGATCATAATCAGCTGCCCACTCACTGCCATCTCAAAAGACAAGTCAGTCACAAGTCACACAAATTCGATAGGATGTTTACGTCATAGTCGCCAGCGGCGGATCCAGGAATTTGAAGTACTCCGGTGGGGGGGGGGGAGCAGTGAAGGACTCCTAGAGATGGAGGGTCTACACCACCCACCATGCTGGAGCTTATGTAAGAAAAAATATATGATTATGGCACCTTTAGATGGCCGAAAACGGCACTCTCGGGCTTAAATTTTTAAATTTTGATGAAAAAAAAATAGTAGTGGCCCGGGTAGGCATGCCCCCGTTGAATCCGCCACTGGTAGGCCTATAGGTCTAGGACTAACACGCTGCATATTTCAAACCACGTCAATTAACTTCGGCGTTATCACCATCTCTCATTATTGATATTAATATTATCAGGAACGTAACCAGGTTCATAGGAAGGGGATTTCCTAGGCCAAGTAGCTTAACTCAGAAGATTTATTTAATAAACACAGATAATACACAGTTAGTAAACATGTCAGAGTTTGGCCAAAACCCCCTGGAAAAGGTCCTGATTATTTATCATATTATTAGACTATTATTAATAATTAACACATTCTAACTAAGCATCGCATTCCATTGATGAGCAGATGTTCCACAACTTGTCAATATCAATAGCTTCATTTAGCAATGCCCTGTTTGTGTTAAAACACGGAAGCGAAAATGACAAGTCTACCAATGCCACTCACCAAAGCCGAACTGTCAAATATACTGACATCAAACATCAAACATGCTCATACAAAGTCGCATACAATTGACTAGGCTACATACTAACTACCACCTAACCGTAACCATTGAGATACCGTCTTACCTATACCGAACACTGATTTACACCAAACGATAGAGGCCTATGATTAATGAACTAAAGCTCAGTGTTTTGCGTATAGCACACCTTGGAACAATGAAATGTCTCACTGTTTATACGTAGCGAGCTCCATGCGTGATATAAGCGCGGTGTATAGTTAACCACGCGCCTCACACGCGCAATACAGTTGAATGATATTAAAACCAACTTACCTGTTGCTAGTTTGCGCGTGTACTCGGGATCGTCGATGATATACTCCAATCCTGTTTCCGAGTTCATAACGGCTTTCACACAGGATACTATTTCCAATTGTGCGTATATGTTCGCAATGTTAAACTGATCTTGTTGGCTTACTCTCTTCTGTGATAAATAAAGTAATTCCAATCCGCCCAGCCCCAAAAATCTTAGCATCCATTGCCTGTCACAATCGTTCGTAAGTCTGTGTCTTAGCGAGGTATAGTTATGAATAGACGGCCTATCGCGGATCAACCGTATAAAACTTTCCGGATCATTAGAGGCCTGCAAGGCAGTGGTGGGGCTACACTTTGAGGGATCTTCTCTGTATTTCTGCAATAGCCTTTGCCAATTTTTACCAGCGACAGATGGTTCTGAGGTACGTTTTGGTACACATCGGTCACTGTCGTCTGGTATCGAGTTGTTGAGAAGCAGGGATTCCATGAAACCTCACAAGAGCACACGCAATTAATCTGATTCAGAAAAGAATAAAAGAAGCAAATTAAATTCTGTTAATCAGGTATAACGGCCCTCATGTTTGGTATTGCTATAATTGGAAAACGGCTCCTTATTAGGAAAAGAGAATTTACATGAAACAGTGTTTCTCTATTTTTGTCGAGGAAATCTGTATCAGTAATCGATTCATCCTGCTTGAATAAAACATGTCTCGTCCCCTCTCACTTACATCCTTTTTCAGATATCTTATGTTTTTGGAGGTTTTTTTAATTTATTTTTTTTCATTTTATTTATTTATTTATTTATTTATTTTTTACTTTTTCGAATAAAACAACTGGGAAATATTGCAGATTATCATTTCAAATCATTCTTAAGCGAGTGTCCGTCAGTGTATATAGTCATACACTGTGTTTGCACTATACCCTCGGTCTAGATGCACGCCTGTTAGTCGCTGTGGACTCGAAAGTGTGTGGCACTTATGAAAAGAGACCACCCCTACTCTTTGTTTTTAGACTTAATTTAAGGTCTTATCCATTGGAAAACTTTAAAATATCATTATTATTATTATTAATAACAATGAATCAATTTGTAAATTAAACGCTGATATGATGACCTAATGAATATAATCATAACATTGTTTCTATGCGACGGTCAGTGGGATATTATTTTTTCTTATCAACATTTTATACCAAAGGGCAAAATATATAATGTAATACTGTATTACAATCGCTATTAAATTCTAAAATCAACTAAATAAAGAAGGTGTTTGCAATGAAAATATTGATACATCGAATTATTAACAAACGGTTCAAGGCTTCGTGTCCAATCACGCATTCCGTTAAAGACTTTCTTCCTGGCCCTCCGGCGATTTCACAGCTTTGCGCAACAGTGGCCAAATCCTACTGGGCACGTATGAAAATATAGTATGTTCAATCATATCGTTATCAGATATACCGCACAACGTATGCGCACGCATCGACCACGGGTAGTACGCAATTGTACTTGGGTGGCGAAAGTAGGGCTTTTCACAAATTGTTGTGTGAATCACGTACCTATTATCATCTTTCATATCAAACAGCAAGTACACTCACCTTTTACAAGATCAAATAATAGACCCTACGGTATGATTCTATATTAGGTCTATATTAAATTGATTTTAGGACAATATTTCCCATTACATGCGCGCTGCGTTACGACGTCTCGGCACAGGAGTGGCGTCAGGATTTGGCAGACTCGGGGGTCCGATGTGTCTAACGTGGGACGACTCCTCGACGGGCGTGTGACTAGAGTGGGCGTGGTCGGACGTAGCTCAGAATCTCTCGGAACCCTTAAATACGACAATTTATGGGTTTTATAGGCTCATTTAATCTATGTTTAGAGCCTAGTATGTTTAAAATACACACATTTTTTTCTTCTCTCCAACGAATTGTGTTTTCTCCCTGACGTGGGGTCAGCTCTCCCCAACGTGGTCGACCCCTCTCCCACGGCACCACTCTTCCGTCGGCAGCCAGCACAAGTCCATGAGACCGGGATGGAACACGTGCGCGCGACCGATTGTTAAATAACATCAACGCGAAACATACGTCAGCCTAGATGTCTATGCTTGGTTATAGATAGGAATATGCCATAACTATTCCTTTATGCCTACGGTATTTAACGTTTTTAACTGCAAAAAATATGGTAAAACGGTGTCAATGGCGACTTTGCAATTCAGACGATCGTTATCCAGAACGAATAACAGGAGGAATTAAATTTATCCCGTTCCCGAAGCCCAAACGCAACATTGAAAAGTGACTTGGCCTTTGCTGACAACGAGGTTGACTGAATGCGGCTTTTCCCTCTTTATTAAAACCGAAATACAGATGCTTTTACAACAATTTCCCCGCCTGTTCAATGAAACAGGTTAACACTATGAATGTATGATTCATTTGCATACCGTCTACCCTGAATTCTCTTTCTTGAAGGTTGATAGCAAAGAAATACCCCGAAACCGCTTGATAACTCGGAAATTTTAAATTTAGCCGCCATATTGTCTAAGGTTTTCGTGTCTTTGTGGGCGGGGCTTCGCGTCCTTGTCGACATGTCAATTGCAGTGACGGATTGGGGGAGCCTGTCCTGGCCCCCTCTAAATTTTTCAAAATTGTAAAAAATTGGAGAAAAAAAGGTATTTTTTTATTTTATTTTAAGTCTTAGAGTGCCATTTCCGACTGTCTATAGGTGCCACAATCGTAAATTTTCTTACCGCAGCCCATCCAACCCATGGTGGGGCTTGAGGGCGCCGTTGGCTTTCGAAATTATCTTCGTTTTCAATTCAATTCAGATTTATTTCACTTGCAACAAAGATTACATACACAATTCAATCAAGTAAAGGAACAAACACACAAAAAAGCAAGCAAGGGTTGCTGAGCGGGCATATTATAAGCCCGTATAAACAACTCCCCTAAACAGATTAATACAATTTATAGAAAATAAGCAGTAAAACTACAAGAAACAATTAAACTATAGAAACTTAAAGACTTAGGCCTATATGTTGAATTAATTAAAAACTTTAAAATATAACAGAATTTAAAAAAATGCCAACAAAATATGTAAATACTTATATTTAGGCATAGTTAACAAAAGTAAATAAATAAATAGAATAAGTAAATAAATAAATAAAATAAAAAATAAATATGATAGACAAATGAATAAAAAGAAATAAAAATAAATAAATTAAATTAAATTAAAATTTAAATAAATGGCTAGGTGGATTCGGTACTCTACATGCTGAATTTCCAAAATGAGTGGAGAATAAATTATTACCGGGGTCAAATTTATTACGGTAGGATCAAAAGGTGGAGATTCATGGTTTTACGAATTCTCTTGTGAATGATCACCTTCCTTCCCTACTCACTACACGTCACACGAGAAGGCCACAAAAAAAAAATCACCTGGAAACGCGGCACATTTTGTGCAGGGGCTGGACTATATAAGAGTTTTCACTATTCTCTAGAGTTAAAGCTCCTTCCTATTACTGTAACGGTATTATATATTTTTTATATTTTATACGGAAGTTGTCTGTTAGAAAAATTGAAGTTGAATGTTAAAAATGTTTACCGTAATTAAATATCTCATACAGTTTTCTAAACTTTATAGAGAATAACGGATCCCCTCCCGTTATACTCCTACATTTTTGGAGTCCTTAAGAGGTCGGCTTCACCCACCAGAACCAGAACCAGAACAGATATTAGGCCTACTGTATTCCAGAAAATCCACAGTTGGAACAGCAACACACTCAGCGGTGGCTCTAGAAATTTTCTGACAGGGGGTTCGACATGTCAGACGGACCGACCCGGCACCGACTATTCGAAACTCGGTCCGGGTTCCGGGATATAAATTAAAAAAAACTTCCTGGGTTAGGGTTAATAGAGAGAATTTGTATGGTTAATGGCCCAAATTGTAATTTCAGACCACAATGTCGGATTGGCAATCAAAATAACGTTGTTTGGACAGGCTAATTATAGTTGTTGTTGTGGTTGTTGTTATTATTATTTTTTTTTTTTATCGTGGCCTCGTCGCGATCGAGGCTTGTCCAACAGGGATGGGGAATGTCCCACCCACGCTGGCGCAACCACTGTATACATGCTCTGCCTTCTGAATGTCAAGGTCCCAGGCCTACCTTCCATTACCCTATACCTTTATGACCTTATTGACGAATATAGAATTTGTCGGCCAAAACACGAGATCACTGTTAGTAACATAACATCTGTGATGTTAGGCCTATCTAACACGCTGTCGAGACGGTTTCGTGACTTGTCATCTTAGTAAAGTACTAATTTGTTGTGGTCGAGAATGTTAATTGGCCAGTAAGAAGATGATACACTTGGAATCGGATTTTGAAACCAAATATCGACTTCACATGGAAAACATATCCATTCACATCTTAGTAAACGCAAAACGTTATTATACAATCATAAGTTTCGCACGTTGTGGCCCAGGTTCTGTCAGAAATAACGTAAACACAACGTTACTGCAACGTTGTCAATCTTATCTAGTCATAAATTACATTAACAATATTTGTGGTTCTACTAAATAACGTTATTATAACGTTGCTATGGGATGTTGGCTAATTGGATTTGGAATTTGCCGACTGTAACTTAAAATACAACAGTGAGAGAGGCGTCCGCTCTGTGGATAAACTTAGTAAAATAAAACTTCGTATTACAGTATTACGTACAGTAATAATCGAACCCTTTTTCAAGCATCTATCATGACTGCAGGCTAATTTGATTCAATTTATTTGCTGCATAGGCCACTAACCAGGGGCACAATACGACGTAACATAAATATGCACACAGAAATATAATATGCCATGAAGATCCAGCTGGTGATTGTATTTGTAGAGAGATTTTACATTAAATTTGGGCTAATCTATTAGTATGGGAATAAACTGTAAAACAGCATGGAAGAACGCAAATTATAGCGCCACTATTTTGTTGACATGTACGGCTAAACAAGTCTAATGTGTTTAGGTTCCTGACGTGTTTAGCATAACATTGTGTTTGACATTATGATGTTAAACACCTAAGCACATTTAATGCTAAATATGTCAAGATCCATAAGCACGTTACATATTTAGTTTTTAAACGTATGACCGAAAGAGCGGGACACAATTGCTTGGAGCTTTGTGTTTAAATCCTTGACGCTGTTTTTACAGTAATACAGAGAATGAATCATTAGTGTATGATAAATAGAAATAGGCTATTATTCATTCAAAATATAGAGGAAAACACTGCCTTACCTTTTAAGATAGAACTTTGATATTAGGCCTATAACACTTCAAATAACATAACAATCAATATGAAAATTAGCCTTACATCACGTATATCTCTGAATGTTCTTCTGTAATAGGCCTGTTTCACTCACTCGAATTAACAACATGAAATTGAGCATATAGTGTCAAGCAGCGACTGTTTATTCCGGCCAAATATAATAACGCAGCTATGCATATCTCGCATGGGCCAAGTTAATGAGTTCT